CTATTACAGTTGGAATAAGCAATAAGTTTTGGGTAGGCAGATTGTTTTGCATGAAAATGGGTTGCACTGCCTGAGCCTTTAAGCCTGAAACAGTGTAACTCCTGTTTAGGAAGAAATCCAACCTTTTGTAAATTTATGTCATATCTGGAAATGGTAGGATGCTGTAGGTGAATATATAAAATGATAAGAGAAGACAGAAAAGATCCAGCTTGGTGTTCTGTGTGGAACAGGTTTACAGCTTCCATGCTATGGGGAAAGCCTCAGATTTCCATAATGCACCATTCCTGGGTTCTTTTGTGCTACAGTGTAATATAAGTACCATAAGACCTGCAGGGAGTGTCTTCCCTGTAACTTGTGCTTTGTGTTCAGCTGACCGGACCATTTCTTGTCTGGATATATGCAGTGCTGACACAAATAGATTGTTGTGCATGTACTCTGTATATCTGTCTTCAGGTGCAAGAATTCCTTGAATTGCTTTAAAACTGAAGGCATCTGCCGTGAAATTACCTTTATCTTCTACTGGGAGCCAGTATATAAACACAGCATACAATTGTAGAATATCCTGAGTTGGAAGGGACTCACAAGGGTCATTTAGTCCAACTCCTGACTCCACACAGGGCAACCTAAAAGTTAAACCAGATGTCTAAGAGCATATCCAAACACTTCTTGAACACTGAAAGACTTGGGGCCGTGACCACTTTCCTGAGAAGCTTTTTCCAGTGCTCAACCACCCTCTTATTGAAGAACTTTTTCCTAATACTTCCCCTGATGCAGCTTTAAGCCATTCCCTCGTGTCCTATCACTGGCCACCAGGGAGAAGAGATCAGCACCTCCCTCTCCGCTCCCCCTTGTGAGGAAGCTGTAGACAGCAATGAGGTCACCCCTCAGTCTCCTCCAGGCTGAACAAAGCTAGTATCATCAGCTGCTCCCCATAAGTCATGTCCTCTAGTCCTTTCACCATCTTTGTTGCCCTCCTTTGGACACATTCTGATATTTTTATATCCTTCTTGTATTGAGGAGCCCAAAACTGCACACAGCACTCAAGGTGGCACTATTTTTGGTTGAATTTGTGGGTATCTCAATAAGAAGTGGTCAATTAAAAAATAAGTGCTTGTCAGAAGCAGTCAGAAAGACTGGTACTAATCAGTGTTGTTTATTTAGTTCTAGTTTTGTATTGATCTGAAGCTTCAGAAGGAAAATTGCAGTTCTTCCTATCTAGGAGACAGAGCTGAATTCATTTAAGAATAAAGAAGTACTACCTCTGACACCTAAGGGGCTATCCTGTGGACTTTTGTACCCATTATATTTTTTTTCTGTCTGGACTTCAATGTTTTTTTTCTTTCTTACATTTATTCTTAATTATCAGCTTCATACAGTCTCTGCCTAATTAAAATACATTGTTTAATGGCTCTTCAAAATCTAATTGAATTTAGCTTGCTGAAACTGTGCTAAGAAATGTCACTTAGGTATGATGTCTTTAAGTGGCACCTTCAAATGTTATTATTGATGTCTTCATAAAAAAAAGTACCTAAGTTATTAAGTTTGATGGCTGTACTAGTCCCCAAAATAAACTCTTTTTGAAGCAGAGCTTGTACTTATTAAAATGAGACATGTACTTACTAATTTGCTTCATATTTTTAAAAGTGTACTTATCAAATTATTTTCCTGAAGGATAGTTCACACAGACTACCTAACTTTGCCAGGGCATTCTGGTTCTGTCCACAGTTAATGCTGAAGTGGTGTAATGTGTAATGTTATGGCAGAACAGGCATGAAATCATGAGAGCTTCATATGCTTGTTTTTACTTCATATTTAAGCTCTTAGGAATATTAAAGTCTGCAATGCAGAGGTTGTTTCTAAATGTACTGTTGTTTTCTTTGTTTATTTTCTAGAAATACAGGCTGGAATCTAGCTTTGGAGGTTCCCTTTTTCTTGGTTTTTTTTTTTTTTGTGTATGTACATGTAAACATGTCAGAGGAAATTCAAGCCAGTGTTAGCTACTGATTATTACACTTGTATATGTATTTTGCTGTTTCTTGTCTTGGCAGACAGAAATCAGTTTTAGTAGAATTTACCACTCCTTTGGAATTTTTTTATAATGTAAAAGCAGGCAGTAGGAATCCTATTCATGGGTGATATAAAAAGTCCTAATGAATTATTCATATTTTGGAGGTGCTTTTAAATATCTGAATCCTGGTTTCCCATCTGTTTCTTCAAACTTAATAGATTATTTTGAAAATGCTTTCAAAAATATCACTTCCACAGCTACATTTCAAATACTGGTTATGCTGCTTGGAGGCCATGCTCAAAAGTAAATTTGACTGTATTTTAGAAAAACAGCATTTTAAAGCCATGTCCAGCATGTTTTTTATGTCAGTATAAGATAGTATGTTTTACTGATCTACAAAACATACTTAGCTTATTTACTGCATTCATTTGTAAGCCCTCTGCAGCAATCTGTTTATAATTCATGCATACTTTTTACATATCACATCTCGTAACTGAAGAAACAATGGTCTTTAATAATAGAATATACTTTTTAGAGGCAAGCTGTGTGATTTTTGAAAAACATGGGTTTTTTAAACTTTAAGAAGCCATTTGGTTTACCTTGTTATATCTATCTATCAGACTTTAAATTTTAGGGTATACAAAAGAAATCTTAAACCAACTAATAAAATGGGTGGTTTCAAATAAGGTTAGTATGTAATTATAGGATTGCATCCTGTCTTCAAATCAAAATATGTGAAACTCTATTTTAAGTGATCTATACTGAATGACTGCTGTTTACATTGTAATGTAAAAGGACTACAATTAATGTTTGTAGTCATCTTTATTAGGGATAGGAAAGAAACTGGCAAAACATTGGAAAAACTGAAAGTAAGTGTTGTTGTAGAAAGTGAAAAGGACAAATTCATATTTTGAGTTCTTTACACAGGATACATGTGCTAAGATGAGAAACATAGAATGTTTCCAAGGAAGCTGCTTGCAGTCCAGATTCTTTCAGATGTACAAGTCTAATACTTTGTACCTACTAGGGTCTGCAGTCCTAATGATAGAATAGAATAGTTCAGGTGGAAGGCACCTACAGTGATCATCGAGTCCAACTGCCTGACCACTTCAGGGCTGACCAAAAGTTAAAGCATATTATTCAGAGAGTTGTCCAAATGCCTCTTAGGCACTGACAGGCATGGGGCATCGACCACCCGTCTTGGAAGCCTGTTCCAGGGTTTGACCGCCCTCTTAGTAAAGAAATGTTTCCTGATGTCAAGTCTGAACCTCCCAGGAGAGACGCAGGTTTGAGCCATTCCCATGTGTCCTGGCACTGCATACCAGGGAGAAGAGATCAGCACCTCCCTCTCCACTTCCCCTCCTCTTGAGTTAAGATTGACTCTTAACTCAGTCGAGTTAAGATTGAGTTAATGTTGAGTTAAGATTGACTCTTAACTCAATCCCCAGCTGTTTTGAAAGACCTCTGTCTGGTGTTCTGACTCTGTTGTCTCAAAATCAGGTTAGCATTACAGCTTAAGAAAAACCCAAACAAAACCCCAAACACTTTGTATTTGCCATTTATATCTAGTGTAATAATAACATATAATATATAGCATAGCATATAATAATATAACATATACCATATTATAATATTAACATGTTAATATATTAAATATAATATATGAATATATATAATAATATATATATTGTCTTTGCAAAGAGAAAAAAAACCAGTGATTTCAACTGAGTCTCTTTTTAAAAACAAGTATGAATTATGTTATGTGGTTAAGAACTTCCTTAAATGTATTTTTAAATTCCTAATTTTTAGTAAGCTTAAAGCTTCACTTCTATGAAGTTGTATGTTATATTTTTTCTTTGGCCACCAAATCTCTCATAGTAGTTATGACCATTCCTAAAGGTTTAAAAAAACCTGTTACATTTGAAAGTAAATGAAATTCACTGAAAAAGATATGTTAATGCTTTGAAGTGTTCTGGCTTTTTCTTCCCTGCAAAATGTTAATTTCCACAATCTTTATTGAAAAGTTAAAATAATAGGTAGTTGAGAGACCCAGATAGCATTAGCCTTTTGGAGAGTCTCTTGTGTTCATAGCCCAAGTGCTTTGAATTGTCCTGAACCAGGAATAAACTGCACCTGCCCTATTGTCAGAGGTAACCTACCTAACTTATAAAATTGGCATTACTTCCATGAGATTTTAGAAGCCTCTTTTTTTTTTTTTTTTTTTTTTTTACACTACTGTGTGAGACTTAACCAATCTGCCACAGCCCATTAAACTGTCCCTGATATTCACCTGATAATTCCTGTTGCAGGCAAGCCCCGCTGGCATGATGTGATATGAAATTGAGCAACATAGGATTTCTAACATGCATGTCTTTCTTTTATGTAGAGACATAAAAATGACAGGAGACCTCTCATGTAGGAGCATGGTTCGTGTTGATGGCCTCATAACAGAAAAATAATTTTGCGAAGCTGTCCTGGGTAGTCCTTCTACCATTTAATACGTCTAAGTGTGGAACAGCGTAATCAGAGTTCATGCAAGCATTTACTGTTGCTACTCTTTGGCTGATGGATTTTAATTTATATTCAAAGTTCTGTGTAATATTAAAATCTCAGATGTAGACATATTTAAAGGACCCCTTTGTGTGTGCATATAAACATGGTAGGAAAAACTTCAGCACATGTTAAACACTGATTATTACACTTGCATGTCTTGTATACATACAGTGCTGCTTGAAATGTTTCTCTTCACTTTACAATTTTGTATTCTTATCTTAACTCTGGGTCATTATAGTCTTTTTCCAGTGATGACAAGAGAAGGTAACTTTACAAAGCGCTGTATGATTCAACACTAGTTTCTGGAAACTTGTTTGTAGTTTTCTGTCAAGTGTGGGGTTGATTGAACTTCTGGACCTTTGCATGTATGGTAATTTTGCTGAAAAGAAATGTTTATTTAATAGTCTTACATGTGCGTTTTTATTTTTTCACTTTTTAGGTGCACTGAATTTCACTCCTGATGCTGCTGATTCCATTCCAGGAGAAAGACAACCTACAGATATAAACTGGGTAAATAAAGTTAGGAAAGACTCTAACAGTAATCAGAATAGAAGTAATTTACCATTTCCTAGGCTGTCTTCTGAAAGAGCTACAGATTATGAAAGCTCTTCCACAAAGCATCATGGCTTTGGTAATCCGGAAAGTCAGTATGGGAATTCTGAAGACTTCCACCAATATTTTGGTACCAGTAAAAGTTTGAAGAATCGCAACTTGCAAAGCCAGAGGTGGCACAGATCAAGAAATGATAGCACGTGTACTAGAAGTAAGATAAAGCAAAGTACTGTTGATGCTGCTGCAGGTCCAGGAATTTCAGATGCTGCAATAGTACCTGGGAGAAGAGCACCTCCTAGAGGGTACAATGACTTTCTCTCCTCTGAGAGTGACAGGGAGGTACCTAATGCAGATAGCAGAGGGGCGAAGCCAAAGAAAACACATCTGATGCATGCACCTGGAAGAGGTGTCAGGGAGAAGGGAAAGCAAGTACATGACCGGGAAAAGAGAGTGAGCACTAAACAGAAAGTAGAGCTGTTTGAAAATGTTCCATCTTTGGATTTGACTCAGTCTGACTCTTCAGAATCATCTGTTGGAAAGGCATTCTGTGATGCTCCTGTTGGTAGTGGGGATGAGCAGAAAGGCTACAATTATGTACACAAAAGATATCCCCGGAAGCCTGTGTGGAATAAACCCCCGGTAGAAAAGGAGTGTCAGAAAAGACATGATTCTCACCGTAGTAAAAATACAAAAGTAGGTAAGAAGTCTTCTCCTGCATATACTTCAAAAGATAAGAATGAGAGGAAGAAAGAACTCTCTGTGCACAAAAATGATGAAAACCTGACCAGTGAAATCAGGCATCAATTGTCTGATTCTGTCAGATGTAATGGAAGAAAGTTCCTGCTAAAGGGGGATCAGGCACCTGCACTTCATTTCAGCTGGACCCAGTACTGGAAAAAGCAAAGTGATGTACCAAAAAACAAGGAAACTCATACGGGTAAGCTTTCTAGACTGTCCTGTACTCCTGTATTAAAGATATGATCATGAATAATTTAAACTGCCATCACATTTGACTAGCTGAAGAAGCTTATTATTTCACATTAGGTCAGCGTCGGTTTCAGAGGACAGAACTAAATGTAAATGTGTGGCTTCTGAGTGGGGAGGTGTTCTGTACGTTTACTAAGGAAGAACAGATTTTGTTTAAAGTTTGTTTGTTTGTTTTACTACCAAACTGCAAAGGATGGCTTGGTCAGGCACCATGTTAAAACACGTATATTGTGGGAGCAGGGAATAAATTCTGAGCATTTTGAACAATAGGACTTGAGAGGGACAATCCTAAAACTGATTTTTGCAGAATAAGTTTTCTCATGTTTTATGTAGAAGTAGGAAAATGCCAGATAGAGGAACTGTATTCTGCTCCTGACTGGATTTTTTTCTGTTGTTTTGCAATGGTGATATCAAAAGGTAATTAGAAATAGAGAAAATCTTTGGATACTATTTTTGGAAGTTGAGAATAGGAACATGTGCCATTGACAGTGTAAAGCAGACCCACAGATTTTCACTGTCTGAGTGAATTTTGTGCCAACTCACACCACTAGGGACTGAAAACATTAAATGGAAATCAGCTAAATCTCTTCAATGCCACAGTACTGGCTTCTGTCTCTAGACAATCTAGGTAGCTTTTTCTTACTGTTTCAGATAAGCTTAAGTGTGCACTGAGAAAAGTTTTGTGTTATTCATAGCACCCAGCAGAAGTCCTGTTTTCTTTCAGAGGCAATAAGGAGAGAGATTTTCCTCCTTTTTTTTTTTTTTTTGGTCCCTTTCCAGTTGAACAAACATTAAGAATATATTTAGTTGGTTTTTACAAAGCATCTCAACCTGATCTCCTGCTGCCCAGAATGATAGAGACAGGTAGACTAGTTCTTGTTACCTTAACTGTGGTATTAAATCTTTTGAAGGTTTTGCTTCTCAGTGTCTCTTCTTTTTCAGAGCTGAGAAAGTAGTAGCATAATCAGGAAGCATAAGATAGTTCTAGTCAGAAACTTTGTTCCCTTAGGAGAAGATCAAGATTCTTCTTGATCCCTTCTAACTTAAATACATTGACTTTCATGCTCCTGGGTTCTACTTGAATTGTAAAATTAAAGATACCTCAGTCTTTCTCCCAGCATTATTATTAAATGAAAAACATCATATGCAATAAGCAGGAAGAGAAGTAGTAATCTTTTACAGGGAACTTAAGGAACTTCTTCCTCTAAAATGGCAGTCTTTCTTTGCATGCTTTAGTTGGGAGCTATTTTGGAAACAGTATCTGCCACTGTTTTCAGTGAAGTGAGTCTGTGCTTTTTAACTATTTTTGGGACTGCTATCCTTTGAGTATAGCTTTAGTCTTCTGGAGAAAAGTAGTATGTTTTAGGTGGGGATGCTTTCTTTGCAGTGGGTAATATTCATGGGGTACCGAAAGCAGAAATGACTGTTAATTCTAAATCTTGTGGTGCTTGATGCAGGAGAACTGGAAGAGAAGCTTGAAAGTGCTTGTATCCTATTAAGGAGGGCAAACAGTGTTAACACTTTGAAGTCTGCAGGCAGCCATGGGCTTGCTTTCAGTCATGTGTGGTACATTTTGAATTGATAGTAATTTTTCTTTCATTATTTTCATTTTTTTGTCCTTCATTATGAGTTCTAATGTCCCTTGTATTGGCACCATCTAAAAATGGTACATTTTTACACTTTACACTTGTAATTAAGATATTTTCAAATTCTGTGGGCATAGATCAAAGAGCATTTCTAAGGTGTATTTGGTAGCCTTACCTTGATGGGAGAGTTAATCTGGCAGAACTGATGTGGTGCCTTTGTTATGGTTATACATCTAACTGTTTTCAGGCTGTTTTGTCTTTCCTGTGGAGTTCTTTTTTTATTTGCAAAGTTTTTTTATTTTCATGTTCTTTCATATGACTCAGAAGGCTTTGTACTTTGACTATTGTTTCCCAGTAATTCCGCTCCTAAAGCAGGCAGTTTATGAAGGGCTTATTTCCTTAATCCATGTACTTCACTGTTAATATTTGTTGTGTGGTCTTACAGGAATACTTGAGGATGGGAATGAAATTCAATTTTGGCTGAAACTTCTGTAGTTAAGAGCTTTAAGCTTTTTAGTTTAAACTTTATGCGAAGATAAATTTCCCATGTAAAGCGATGAGTAAAATCTCAAACTTCTGCCAAGCTTAAAACTACTAACTGATTGGTAAGATCAGAATGATTGCTATTCATCAACAAGAATTATTGTTGCCACTTTTGTGGGAATCTCATACTCCTTCCTTCTCTGAAACTAGAGAAATGCGTACTAAGTATCAAACTGGAATCTTCCAGGAGTAAACTAATACCTTGCTTATAGCCACACAGGAAAAATAAGTTCTGTTATAATTTAAATGAAATCTTGGAATTTCACTTGAATTTTGTCAGCTAGCTGATGCTTCATGCACAGGTAATGCATTTTATTTGCAGGGTCATTGATTGAACAGCTGACCACAGAGAAGTATGAGTGCATGGTATGCTGTGAGGTGGTCCGAATAGTAGCCCCAGTGTGGAGCTGTCAGAATTGTTACCATGTATTCCACCTGAATTGCATTAAGAAGTGGGCACGATCACCAGCTTCGCAAGCTGAAGGTTGGTATTCTCTCTTGCACACACTTTCTCCCTCAAATATATGTAATACCAAAGTTAATGTGTTTCTTATGCTGGAAAGCTACTTATAAATATTGTCTAAGGTAACCAGTAAGCTGTAAACAAATAAAGTTTTAAATAAAAGCATCCAAAGAACCCTGAAAAACCCCCATTTTTTTATTATTTGTATAATCCTCCTAACTGTTTTGATTCTTTCTAGTATTCTAGCTAAAATTAATTTCCAGGTTTGGATACATAAGTATAAGATTACTTAGTGAAATCAGTGTATCAAGGTGCAAAGCTCTGTGGCTGTTTTTACACACTAAGAAATGTCTCATCTTCTGTCATCTGTGCTTGGCTCAGCAGTCAAACAGAAGCAGCACTCTAAGCATTAGTTGTCTGCTTTTTCTCAACCACTTTTTAGTTCTGTTCTCAGATAAAGTACTCCTGAAATCTGTCACCAATGCCATGCAGTGAAGTGAAATTCAAAGAAGACTGAAAGCTTCTGCCTTTGTCGTTAGCTTAAACTGTTTCAGATTCTTTGTGTTATACTACTTTTTGAAACTCTTATACCACTTCATTCTGCCCTTTGAATGCTTTGGTGCAAGTTAAGGCTGAATTGCAGCCTCTCTGCTGTGTTCAGTTGTGTGATGTAGACAGGCTCTGAAGACTGTAATGTTAATCTTGAAGTAGGGTTAATTTTTTCTGTACCGTGCATATTTTGCATTTTCCATTCTTCATGTGTTTTTCTGTCTCTCTCTGGGCAGACCGAGGAAGTACAGTCTGTCAGCTACTTCCACATGTTTGAGAGAAGTTCTTACAGACTGTAAATCTCTTGCAGAAAGGATTGGTTGCAGAGTTCTTGGATTTCTGAAGATGCATAGACAGACTTCTGGGTAGGGCTGGTCATGCTTCATACTGACAGTAGAAAGGAAGTTAAAATATCAGCACAAGATTTGAAACATAAAGGCATTGCAGTGTTTGAGAAGGGAACAGATTTTGGGGTAAGACTGAGATCCTAAGCCAAACTGAGAGTGGCTACTGAGAACCTTTATCTCCTGGCTGTTTTTCTGTCACCTTCTTTGGAGCTGATTTATCTCCCTGAAACGGCTTATTCCTTGATCCAAGAGTATCTGCTTGTGTAAGGGAGGTTTTGCTTATCTGTTAAGACAGTGACCTTAGATACTTGAATCCTGACAGCATTTCAGATAGCTGTATCTTTTGGCCATTTGCTTTTCTTATAAGAATTTGTGGACTAAATATGCTACTGTATCATGTGTATGAGAGAACTTGAGCTAATCGTTAATTGAAATTAAAGGTGGTAGCCTCAGTAGCACTGATTCCATAGTTCCAGTAAGGACACTGATGCATATTTCTTGACCTGCAAGGCCCTGCTACCCTATCTTGATTAGAACTTGTACTTCAGTGTGTATTTGTTTTATTGTAGGTTGTTTCAGTGTAGATTCTACTTTTCAGGATTTGTATAATGTTGAGGAATTCACTAGAACCCTGGCAGTAATTATTGTCTACCAGAAGAGAAATAGGACACTAATCTACCTAACTCAGTAATTTCGCTGTTTTTCTGGAAGAGGAAAAAAAACTGGGTTTTTTTGGACACAATTTACTTTAAATCTGCTCAATTCTGCAAATGTTACAATGAATTCCAGGAAAACTTATCTAATCTCAGCACCCAAACTTTTCACTGCTACATTTCACTTTCAGCCTACTGAGAATGTTTTGTTCATAAGATCAGTTTTGAGTGTTCATTCCTTTATGTTTTTGAAGCAACTGAATGTTTCAGTGAGAATGTCCCTCCACTTGGGGCCTTACAGCAGCTCTTATTTCTATGACACATAGCAGGAGGCTGAAAGTATGTATGCGTACATAATTTCTCACAATTTTTGTGATCACAGCCTTCTATCGGAGAAACCCTGAATACTTGGATGAGGTAGATAACGTCCTTGGGTATCTTCTCATGTAGTTCCATCTTCCAGATCAATAGTAATGGGTATCTGTTATGAGGGAAAAGCAGGTGTGGATCCCTTGGGGACTAGGCACAACACTCAGCAAGTGAAAGCTTTGGCTTTAATGGAAGTGTAGCATTACCATGGTGGGAGCCCCGGGACACCAAGGCTAATCACATGGGGACCCAATGCAATGGAACCCTGCTCAGGAGTGAAGCACAAAGGAATGCACTGCAGGGATAAAACTTGTGCTGATTAACATATGGTCCATATGCAGTGTCCTGTTTTGCTCATTAGTCACTTGCTGATGTAATGCAGGTGCTGTTATCTGAATTCTGAGATCTGCAGCTGGCCGTCAGGTTGGCCCCCATGCAAAGGTGGGGGAAATGAAGTATCCTGGGTTACCATGTCAATGAGATAAAACATGCTTGGGACTCTATGTACATGGGTGGGAAGAAGCAAAGAACTATCCTAGGTTACAGTAACAAAGTCTTCTCGCACCCTACAGTATCTCTCTTCTCAGGGACTCTTTCAGATGTGCTTTACTAAAGGTGTCTTCCCTCAGAGGCTTCTTTGCCTTCTATTGTCTTGAGGGTCATCTGAAAAATGAGTTTTAGTTTGGCCAAGCCAGGTGAAAGAATCTCCTGATTATCCGTGAGGAGTCATAGGGCATTGCGCATTCTTGGTCTGCGTAGACTGTCAGTGGCACTCAGAACTAGAGAATGGATTTTCGTTGTGTATTAGAGATGTCCTGATCAAGAGGAGGAGCTGTGCTAGGCATCACTTTGTCATCATGTGGAAAGATTCTTTTCTATAAGGAGGAACATAACTTTCTCCTTAGCAAGCATTTTTACTAACATTTTGAATTATGTCTTGGAGGAATGTGACCTTTAGATATTGCACAGCTAAGGTCAATCTGACAAAAATACCTTCATTGCACACAAGATCTTTTACTTTGTTATGCTTATAAAGGGGAATTTGTTGTCTCTTGTCCCCTTCCTTCTTATACTTCTTTTAAAAACTGATGCTTCAATGGTGTTTGACTTGTCTCCTTGCATTGATGGAACAAAAGTTTAAGCCATTTGCTCCCTTCTTTGCAGGAAAGGTAGTTTTACTGGTATTTTTATTTTGGCTGGAAGGATTGGAGATATTTGAGTTATCACAACTGACGGTCTCTCTGCTCTCTCTGCTGCCCCTGCCCTGCACTTCCAGATGAGCTAGTGGTTTGTACCAATCCAATATTGCCCTCTAAGATGGCTTTTGAGTTTCAGTGGTCAGAGTATGAATCTACTTGCCTTTTTTTCTTAAGCCATGCTGTTCAAGGGCTGAAGCCATTCTGTGTGCCTTGGCTATTAGACAAATGTTGTCACTTTTTTGTTACTGGGACAAATGCTTTTGATTGTGTCTAGCTGAGAAGTCAAAGCAATAATTTATTCTGATACAAATTATCTCATTGGAGAACTGCATAAGACCTTTTAGAAATGGTAACTTGAAACTGCCAATGTTGATTCTAGTATATTCTACTACAGCTGAAGTGACTGAAATCGTTTGGAGTTCTTTTCATGTACCTATCATTGTATACACGTTG